AAGCACTCTGGGCCGATGGGATGGCATAGCTGGTAAAGCCGACACCTGTATTGATAATATCCCATATGAATGCTGGTTCTTACCCCTGATGCTGCATTTTTGATTCCCACCACCCGATACAGGCCTGGGGAAAGCAGTGGAAGATGGCCCAAAGGCTTGGGTTCCTGCCACCCAGATGAGACTCCTGGCCCCAGGCTTGGGCTTCACCCAGTCTTGGTGATTGTTGGTCAGAGGGTGGAAGGATTATCTTCTCTTTATCTCTCTCTCCCTCCCTCTCTTTGTAACTCCATGAATAAACAAATAAATCTTTCTTCTAAAAAAAGGAATCAATAAAATGCAATCATTTGTTGCTGTTTACATTTATTGAGTCCTTTTAACAATTCTGTGTTTCAAGGGTAGAGACCTTTTTCTGCCATTTGTTCATCTATAACATCATCCATACACTATGTAAAATTGTCAACTTCAAAACTGGCCTACTATAGATTTATTGAATTTCAAGTCTAGCCTGCAGTTATCTTGGCAGGGCAAGAACGAATGATTCTGTGGGCCTTGTGGGGCCCCTGGGCAGGACATTCCCTACTTGAGCCTCAATTTATCCTGCAACAACTCTAATTGAATAGGTACAACTATTATCTCATATAATATTTACATTGCATATAAGCAAAGCAGAAGAGAAGGTTCCCAAACTACCCAGCTAGCACAGGAGCTGAGGAGGATGTGGCCCCAGGCGGCCACATTTGAAAAGCTTTTCCTACTCTGTCAGATGGTTCCTGTGGATCCTGCTGGCTGTATTCAGAGGAATGGAAGAGAAAAGCCTGGTCCTCAGCCCACAGACTCTTGCGTTTTCAAGGGTCTAACTACTGATCAGACCGTTGAAAGCAGCGTTCTGGGGCGGCCATTGGCTCAGCACTCTGTTAGCCTCTCGAGACGCCTGCATCCCTTTCAGAGTGCCAGCCCAGAGGTCCACCTCTGATCCTGCCTGCAGCCGATCACACCTCAGGACGTGGCAAGCCACGCTTCTGTGACACAGATCTCTGACTCCGTGAGATCTGGTTTCCACGCTAAATTCCTAGCTTCAGCTTCACTCAGCTCTGGCTGTGGTGAGCTGTTGGCGCTTGAACCATTGCATGGCATACCTAGGTCTGTCTGCATTCAAACATACAAATCTTTAAATAATTTCTTCAAACTATTCACCCAGTAATTATTTTCAGATACTAAACACAATCAAACACTCCCAGGTCTGAATGTATTTTTGTTAAAGACAAAACATTCATACTGTGAGATAACAAACAATTGCCTAATATGATGAGAGAAGTGTCTCTCTATGAAGTCAATACTGGCTTGATAGTCATACAAATTACATCTCTGACACCTGTGGTTCGTACAATGTGATCACACATTTTGATCAGTATCCTCTTTCTCTAAAAGACGAAGTGAATAGATATTTCAAAAGAGCTTATTCAAGAAATCCACTCAACTCTTTAACAACTGCTGAAATGTGGCACTGAACAGTATCCCCAAGTTATGTTATTCTGGATCTCTCAAAATTTTTCTTTGAAGAGGCTATCCTATTTCTTTGTTTTAATTACATGATAAAGATGCAGGGGCGTTCTTACTGAACAAAAAACATGGGCCAATTTTCAGCAGTGGTCATGGAGGAAGACAGACCGTGGCAGGGATGAGGCCTATGAAACATTTCAGAATTCCAGACTTTCTGCTTTTCCATGGAACGAAAAAGCACAGCACCCTATATTCTTTGTTACATTTCTCCATGCTTTCGTTCACTCACATATTCTTTTGAGCAACTACTTGCTGAATAACTTTTTAATATCTGCATTGTGGAATAATATTTGTGTCCTCCCCAAAATCTGTTGAAGTCCTAAGCCCCAGTGTGACATTATTTGAAGAAATATTAGAATACAATTACAGTTTATAAGAGATCCTCAGGGTGGTGTCCCGATCTAGTGAGTTTAGCGTCCTGATAAAAAAAGACATTGGTGCTTCCCACTCTCGCTCTGTGGCCTATTGGGAGGGTGGGGGTCACATCATGGAAAATGCCATCTAGCAACCAGAACAAAGACAGCTGTCTCTAAGTCAGGAAGAGAGCCCTCACCAGAACCAACCCAGCTGAAACTCTGATCTTGGAGGTGCAGCCTCCAGAACTGTGAGAAAATAACGATGCTGATCGGGTCATTCAATCGGTGGTATTTTTATGACAGTCTGATCTAACACAGTCTGCTTATTTCAGGTAGCATATTAAACACTGGACAGCACACAGGCACTGAAAAATGATAGATCGCAATCAGGGTACTGAGCTAGGAAGATGGAGCTTTGTGGGCCCCCGACTTTATCGCCGAAGCTAGGAAAGCCACCAGGACACTGCCCAACGCTGATGCATTCACCTCTTCCGGCAGTACTGAGCTGTCCCTAGAAAGGTCACGGATGGTGGCATGGGAAGAGAGATCTGGAAGACTGGATACCTGTGAAGCATAGCAAAGACAGCAAGAAAGTGATTTGGAATGAGCAGGGCTTCACAGAATCAAAAGCTACAGATTAGACATTATTGGTAAGGCACAGAGTCCAGTCCAGCTGATGCAGTGTTCGTTTAGGGCACATAAATAATAATTTATTAAAAGAAGAAAAACACAGAAGAAAAGCTTTGTAAAGGGAAAAGATGGTGAGTCGCACTAGAGAAACGCACGGTGTGTTCAGCCAGGGTAGACTGAGGTTCTGCAGGGCAGACCTTCAGTGCAGAGCCAGAAGCACGGCGGGCACTCAATGGCAGCTTCCTCAACCTGGATTTCCTGTTTGTGCTTTTTTTCTGAGGATACCTAAGAGCTACATTTTTTCCCCTCTACGATCTTGTCATTAATAATGAAGTAATATCAAGCACAATGGTCGCAACAGTTAATCACAATGATCTGTCTATGTAACTAGGTGGAAAGTTAGCAACAGCGGAGGTCAAACATGAGCAGAGGACAATGCAAAAACAGCACACGAGGGGGAAGGATCCCTTCGCCAAACTGGTTTTTCATCATGATTGGATTTTGCATTAACTAGGGCAAAAGAAAAGAAAAACTAAACAGAGTCAAAACCCAACTACTTCTCCAAGGATAACCAGTTTGCCAAAACCACAGAGAGCCCTTTCTCTGTTCTTTTTTTTTTTTTCGTTACTCCTCCAAAGCAGACAATCCACACTCTCACAAGGGAGTGTAAAATGATGAAGAAAACTACCGAATTGGCTGCGAACCTGATTCTTGAAGGACCGCAGGATGCTTAGCTGAAAAGTCATGAACGATTGTATAAAGGTATCTTGAATTACAAACTAATAAAGTAACTACATTTTGACATAATGAAAAGAATCATCTTACATTTCTCAAAGCAAATATTTGCCTGTGTATATGTTGAAACTATTTTATTCCAAGGAGAAAAAATATAATTATTTTTAAATTTCCTCTAACGGTAGAATGTTCCCCAGGCTCAGCGCCCCCACCGCAGTCCATGGGTATTATGTTTAAAAAGGCACAGTCCTGCATTTACCAACACTGTAATTACAGAATGATTTTGTTATTAAGCCTCGGTTTATTCCAAACCTTCTGGATAATCTTGACCAGTACTGCACTTGTTATTCAGCTCTGGAGAATTTGTAATAAAAGTTTAATGAGTTACTTATTATTAGAATGTTTACAGCCATTATTTTAAGGTGAACAATAATGACGTAAAGCTCATACGCATTTGGTTTAAAATATATTCAACTCACATATCAGTTAATGGTACAGTGACTTTTAAAACATCTCTTATCAATAAATGTGTCCAACAGCAGTGTAGTTGAACTGCCACTTTCACTAGAGCTGTGGATAAGAACCAAGGCAGACTTTCTACCTGTGGTCATGTCAGATGCGGATCTTAACTCTGGACATTAAAATTTCAACAAGAATTGTTTTGATTATGTCATTTTGTAAAGTTTCACACAATGGAACACACACAAAGCAAGGAGACCAGATGCTGAGATTAAGTCCTCAAGCCACTACATATGTTCTATCAATGGCCATATATAAAAGAGAATATGTCCAAATAAATCTAGCATATCTGGTTTCTGTCTAACTGAAATACTACGAAACAAAGGTTGGTCACATCTCCAAAAACACTTTCCTGCCTACACAAAACTGCCTATAAGTTTTTAAGGGATTGTATATACGTACGTGTGCACACATATGCATCTATACTGAATCTGCACAAAAATTATATACTCAAAAAAACCTCAACTTTCTTGAAATGAAATTTAGATTTTGAAACTCACCAACAACTTCTAATCCTTAGACATACCAAATGGATACTATGAAAAGTGTATGACCAAAACCAAGGATTAATTTTCATAACCATTCTGTAAACTAAGTATGAGATCAACTTGAACATAAAGAACCCCTTGAAATTCAGGGTGAGCACAGATCACACTTCTGGAATCACACAGGACCAAAACAGGGTTAGCGAAGGAAGCAAAATGCTTTAGAAAAACAGCAAAACACAAAGTTAAAATAAAAGTAAAGCCAAATTAACTCAGAGCCACAAGATGAGTAGTATACACATGATTTCCTCTAATCTTCCACGCTCCTCCAAAAAATGAAATGTAGTACATATGTAATAAGCTGGTTTGATTGGCAATACCACATGTTTTGCATGGAAGATCTTATCTGATGTTTGCAAAAGTTAACAATAATGCCATGCCTGTTTTTGCTTTATTATTGTTATACGTTGAAACTATTACTTTTCTGTTTGTTTGGTCGAGTTCCCTTCCATCATGCTGTATCTTTAGGTTATACAATGTTTTTATCAAAAGGTGAGATTGGGAGAGAAATTCATTCCTAAAGACTTCCTTGTTTCATGACCATTTAAACAATGTCTTCTTTACAGACACGAATATATATGTGGGTGTTCATATTACTTGTGTATATATACATATATTGAGAGAGAGACAGAGAGAGAGAGAGACATGTTCTTACCTCCCATCCGTAGCTGGGATCTTTCAGATTTGACCTTTGCTCTCCCACATAAGGCCCGAACTTTTCACCTACTTCAATCTTCCTTTTGGTCCATATTCCTAGGCCCGCTCCTGGCATGTTTGACTCTCGGAGTTCAAACTCAGCAGGAATGGGGATGTCATCAGGGATGTAGATGGGAGCTTTGTAAGGAGAGCCGTCCCGCGGAGTGAAGGCCTCGCTGGACGTGGCTGGCGAACACGGCTCCGCAACACTGAGGGAGGCCGTGCTGCCTGCTCCGTCGGCGTCTGGCATGGCTTCCACAGGTACTTCTGGGGAGTTGCTGTAAACACACTCATTACCTGTAAAGAAATAATAACTTCATGAATTCCTACTGAGGACAGAAAAGACAACATTCCACAGGGGTAGTCACCTTATTATACTGTCATTCTTTGAAGGCTAAAGAGCAAAGTTACAATGTTAAAATGTACCTTCATCAACACTCTTTGACTTGTTAAGTGGGAGTGGGGTGGGAATTGGGGTTTCTGTGGTTTATCTGTGCTAAATTCATAAACCAGATGAACTGATCCTCAGCTGCCAATACTCTCCTGGGCCAGCCCAATCAATTAGCCATCTGCGAAGCCAGCAGCAACATAATGATTGGTCTCAGGAAGGTAAAGGGGGGGCAAACAGCACGTATGTGCCTGCAAAGCATGCCAGCTCAGGAATGGACGGGGCTGTGTCACTGACTGCAGAGGCCTGACATGCGCAGCAAGCACAGAACTGCCCAAGGCTGCCATGAGCGCCAAGGCTCTGGTGGCTGCAGTTTTTCTATTGGAATATTAACTTATGTTTTCTATTTCAAGCATGTCAACAAATTCCTGTATTTCATTGCCTCGGTCACTGATGCTGAGCAGAAAGTTAAAACCACCCGAAGCTGGTGCTTTGTGCAGACATCTGTAAACCCAAGAGCATGGAGGAGACCAGCCGCTCTTTGAGACGCCTTGAGGTGCATTTGAAAGAGAATCCCTGCAGATTGAGAAGTGGGGTTTCAGTAGAACAGAGCCTTCAGGAAGACCTTTCTGGGACAACACTGTGCGGACAGCAAGGTGGAGGGAGGTGGGCAACGAGAACAGGGGCCAGGGTGCCCAAAGCAGCAGCCCTGAGGCAAGAGCAGCTGGGCTGGAATTTCTCATCAGCTGAAGCAGATTTTCTAAAAGTTAAATCAATAGATAAGGTCTCCCCAAGAAGCCGTTGAACTTGTCTGGACAATAAGATGCTGGACTCTATGTTTGGTATATGCTTGCAATGAAAGAATCTCAACTGAACTTGAACTGTGGTAATGCAACAAGGTGGAGGAATCCACCATGGGGGGAGGATTTGGGAAGGGGTGGGGGGAATCCCAGTACCTATAAGACTGTGTCACATAATGCAATGTAATAAAAAAAAGTTAAATCAATAGATATTTCTTGTCCTCTAGGATTATGAACTGAAAAATCATGCCTAATTTGTCTTATTCATAGGACTTCAAGAAGGAAAATGAAAAAAGAAAAAGAAAAAAATGGATTAAAATAATAAGGAATGGATTTCATCCAGAGATGTCTAAAAGTAAAATGAATTGTTTCCAATTACCAGTACAGGGCTTCTAATATGAGATGACCTGAGAAAATTCATTAAAAAATTCAAATTAAACTTATTTTGGTGAAAAACCAAAACTGTGTGCCCTGAATGTTTGCAGCCCCTTCACGTCATCTGGATAGCCACGAGGCACAGTTGATAGGGTGGAATTTGAGCTCTGCTGGTGAGTAGGCCAGACGGCCTTTATATCCCACCAACCTTGCATGGCTGTGAATTATTAAAGTCTTTCAAGATAGTTCACTGGACCAGAGGGCACAAGACCTTAAATCTTCCTTTGATTCACTATGGAAATTAACTATGACATTCATTAACAACAGTCCATCCAGTAATGACTCCTGCCCCATAAAGATTCACAAAGTACACAATGACAGAACACGTGGAAGTGTCTTCTAATGATGTGCCTGGTTCTTGATTTAAACATCGAAATAATGCCATGTAAACAGTGCCCGCCTTACACCTAAGGGCCTTAGGTTGTCTACTGGCAAGAACTTCAGGAGCCAATTTTATGAGATACAGGTTCTTAACACACAGGTTTATCATCATTCAAGTTCAGCACCCCCTCAATTCTTATGTATTATCATGTACCTTCCATCAAATACTTTCTCATTTCCATTAATGACAGTTTATTTCCCATAATGATCCATGTTCGAGGCTTGTTAAACATCCTCTCATATAGACAGTATCTCTCCTTTGTCTTCTAATCGGTCACTAAATGAAAGACATTCTTGGAAAAACTTATCCTTCATTCATTGCTTTCAATCCACATCTCACACAACAGTCATCTAAACAGGTGTGCAGATCGCCAGCGTCTCCCCACTGACACGCCACACTGGCTGGGACAATACTGCCAGATTACCCTTCGGGTCACACCTATTTTCCTCTTCAACAGCCTCCAGTAATTTTTAATGCCTGCTGGTAAAGTGTAAACCTCTTAGGCTTGAAATAAAATCTCTCTCATTTTAAAGCTGTCTGAGTAGCCATACTCCTCAACAGGAGCCTCCAGCTGGAGAAAGCTTATCTCTGCCTGCGAGGCTCAGCAAGCATTCCTCCTTCAGCGCTGCCCGCCTGGCTAAGCTACTTCTGCTTCTCTGTCCAAACTGCTTCGATTCACCCTCCAAGGTCAAGGTTCCACGTGTCCTGTCCCTCTCCTGTGTAATAGAAGTATCTCTTTTCTAGCAGTTCTTGCTGAATCACTAATCCATCGGTGTTCTGTGCTGCTGAGAGTTCCCTGCACGTGCTTTCTGCTCCCCACCACAACTAGAGAGTGGGCCCTCACAAGAAGGAGTCAGAATTACCCCTCCTTAGGGACTCCCCAAGTCATCTGCACAGAGACGGTTAATGAATGCTTGTTAAATAGACAACTAACCTAACATACGTTTTTATTGAACTATTAAACCAAGTCAATGTTGTTCTCCCAAATATAGGAAACTTTTTGATTCTAGAAGGCATTTTTAACGCATAGAAATAAAACTCAGTGGATTACAATTTTTTCTCAAAGCCCAAAATCAAAAGACAAAAAAAACTTGCACAGAAAAATATTCTTCACAGTCCAAACATACTTGATATAATATATGCATCTAATTTTATCCTTTGGGGACAACTTGCACATCAGCCTGACCTTTAAAAGATCACCAGTGGTCTTGATACAAATAAAACCATCTTTCTAGAATGCTAACATTCAACTATAGCAAGTGCAAAGTAAGTTTACAAATTCCTAAAGACACTTATCTCCCCTTGTGAGAATTTTTTATTTCTGTTGAAATGCTATCAATTGGGAGCTAATGCATATTCTGTAAACTTGTCCATTTAAGAAGTAGGAAACAAAAAATTCACTGTAACAGGCGGCACAGTGTTTCTTTAATAACTATCATTAAGAGTCAGTAAAATTTACCCTCTTTCCTCAAAGGATTAAACAAGCCACATGATCAATTCCATCAAAGTACTCTCAGATCTTTAAGATGACCTAGACACGGGCCAGCTTGGGGCCATGGGGTTCAGCAGCCTCTTATGGCACAGGCGTGTCTTCCAGAGGGCCAATCTCAGCCCAGGCTGACTGTCTCCAGTCCAACTTCTTCATGCACCTGGGAAGGAGGCACAGGTCAGCTGAGCACTGAGGACTCCCCAGCCCACAGAGGGTGCTCCTGCTACTTGCTCCGGTCCAGCCCAGAACAAGCTGTTGCGGCCATTTGGAGGGTTGAACCAGAGGCTGGAAGAAAGGTCACTTTTTCTCTCTTCGTTTCTCTACCTTTCAAATAAATAAGTCAATATTTTGGAAGGGGTATAGAAAAAAAAAGTGCTACCTTCCCAGTGACATAGCTGGTGCATGATCTCTGATCACCAACAACCTTTCCCAACCCATGACTAAATGGATGCATTATGATTTCAATTTCTGCAGCTGAAGTTGTGGCACAGCCGATTCGTCCCACCTGCAGTGCCAGCATCCCACACGAGTGTCAGCTGGAGCCCAGGCTGCTCCATTTCTTCTCCAAGTTCTTGTCAAATTGCCTGAGAAGGCAGCAAAGGCTCATCCAAGCATGGGCCCCTGTTCGCATGCGGGAGAGCTGGCTGAAACTCCTGGTTCCTGGCTCAGGCCTGGTGTTGCCACCATCTGGGGAGTGAGTCGGCAGATAGAGGATTTCTCTGTGTGAATGAGTGTATGTGTGTGTAACTCTGCCTTTCAAATAAATGAATTTTATATTTAAAAAATGATTTCAATTATGGAGGCAAAATTTGCAGATGTGGCCAAGTTGCTGTACAGAAGAGTTTGGATTTAAAGCCTGATTGCAATTCCACTTACAATAACACAAAAACTCTAATTAAACCTATGGAACAATGTATGCAGGTCCAGCCAACCCAGGAGAAAACTCAGGGCTCTGTGCATCTACATCCGGGTATTACCTGTTCATGCAAACCTATGCAATTTGTTTTCAAGCCACCTTTAATCTGGTGCCATCTGAATTCAATATAAAAGGGCTTGGGTGACAAAACTGGAATTGCAAAACTGCTGAGTTTTACTTATCAAAACATGAAACCATATTTCAATGTAATCTTGCATTATAAAATTTTCAACAATCAGTGTAGTTTATCAAACCACACTGAGTATTTTTATAAACTAAAATAAACCAATGACCCATGCACATTATTTAAAAACTGTACAAAAAGGTACTGAAACGTCATCTCAGTGACAAACTAAAGTATCATGTCCCCATTAAATCTCTGTTATTGAAAAAAAGCCCTTTCCTTTGGCTATAACTATATAGTTAATTCAAACATTTCTCAGATACAACTCTGACCAGTCAGGCACATATACATTAGGTAACTATCAGGTAAAAGTGCTGTCTACATCCCGGGTCCCATAAAGATAAATAACTTGATAACTTCTCTGAGCCCAGCTGCCTGCTACTGCAACTTGCTTCGTGCAATCTTCAGGAATGTCATTAATGGAGGACAGAAATACAAGCTTATTGCTGGGGTTGAGGCAAAAGATTTGGGAAAGCTCTTGTCGAGCAACCACTTCAATTCCAACTCTAAGTGTTCCAATTCCCAGAGACCAAGCCAGAGCCTTCCTTCTGATTAGAGGATGGTTGTTCCTGAGACTATGGACAGCTAACATGGCATTCCATTTGGGGAGAGTTCCATGTTGAAAGCACAGCAAACACTGCAAGGGGAAAATTAAGGAAATCATACTTGTAGTCACTTTCACGAACGTGTGAATGTTTTTTCA